GATTTCCTACAAGAGCAGAAGACCTTAGGTGACACAGAAGGCTTGGATCCACCTTCACCACACAGATCTTGCAGGTCAGCTCTGATCCATCTCTCCTAACAGACCACATCTCACAAGCCCACCCCAGAAAGAAAACAGAGAAAGTGCTGTTCCATCAAGACTAAGCTCACAAACTATGAATGAAAAACATTTCACAAAGCAAAAACACACCAAAAATGTAACACACTAATCTTTTCATGAGGGGAGATGATGTGAGAACAGTCAACAGTGTCTGCACAACCAAAACAACAACATTATAGCGCTGTGTACTTTACTGCAGCCTGGAAGAAAGCTATACTGTAGATTTGTGGAGTTCTTTTGCTCCTAAATTTTATATGATGAGCACATCAGTTATGAATTATAAAGCAAAGAGAATTTAGTCGTGCTGGGAATATCAGCCTTTTACATCAAGAGAARAGAAAGCTCTAAAAGGCGCTATTGGTTTATTTTGATTAGAAACAAAAAGGTTTGAACTGTTTACATGTGGATAGTTCAGTTATTGACTTGAATATTTTATTACAATTTGTTACAAATCTTGATTCAGTATTGGGCTCACATCCACAACACGTTCATTTCATCTAAATTCTTTCAAACACAGAAAAGTTTCTTTCTCATATTTTTAACTCCCCTTCAGCAATCATCTCAATCTGTATGACTCAAACTGACCGGATTAGAGGTGAAGGGAGTCAGAAATGACTAAAAGAAAAGATTCTCATTGATAATAAAAATGCAGACAAACTTGGAACTGTCCAAGGTCCTGAAAGTGCTGGACTGTTTCAGGACTTTAGACAGTGTGAATGGCTAAAGGAACTGTCCAAGGTCCTGAAAGTGCTGGACTGTTTCAGGACTTTAGACCAGTGGTTCTCAAAACTTTTAGACCTGTGTACTCCCTGAYCCATTTTATCATACCACTTGGTACCCCTTAAGTCAAACGTAATGATTATTCTCTAAAACTATAATGTACTACAACTGATTATTAAATGAAAATTATTTATTTAACCACCTAGAACATTTAATTCTCAGGCATTTTATCTTTTTCAACTTGAATTAAACACAAAAATAAAAATGTTGCATTGAAAATGAATAAGTAATTAAATAAATAAACCAGGTAGTAGCAGGTGCAGAAAACAACAGCATCCAAAATACATCAGAAACTCACTTAAATGAGCAAATTCTGTGAGATTCCACGTTTTTTATTAGATTCATTTTGTGTCAATTCTGTGATTCTGTCAGCAACTTCCGCAGTGTGGAAATCATAGGGCCTTACATATGTCAGTCCTATTTTTATTTTTATTTTTTACACACAAGGGAAATTTTTCCACGTAATCCTGTAATATGCTTGTGTTCCCCAAGGGATACCTCTGGTTGGGAATCACTGCTTTAGACATTGTGAAGGACTGAAGAAACTGTCCAAGGTCCCAGACTTTTCAGACTTGTGTACCCCCTGAGCCATTTTGTCATACCACTAGTACCCCTACAGTCAAACGTAATGATTATTCTCCAAACTATAATGTACAACAACTGATTATTAAATGAAAACTACTTATTTAACAGCTCAAGTGGGTGGGTTCATTGTAAAGCTGGGCGGTCCCAGAGTCTGAAAAATGACGCTATATGTGTAAGACTCAGCTTTTACACATCTAAAGAAAAACTCTGTGGAAACCTAAAGCAGTGCATGAGTTAACAACTAAAATGCAAACTGATTAAATAATATGGTATTTAAACTCCTTCATTGTCAAAGTATCCATCTCTGTGCAGCACCAGTGTTTTATCACCAGAACTGATGACACAACTAATGACTAGGTACAAATGAGGAAAATCTGTGAAATTTCCTTTTTAGTTGCTTTATTCTATATTTATTTGTGATGAATTATTTGTTTGTCGTTTAGTTTTACAATATTTTTTAATTGTTTGGTTTTAGGGGGGCTTTTACTGTTGTTTTGTGCTGGTTAACAGTTACAGACTAAAAAACTGGTCCTACAAATTGGTTATTTGGCCAAGAAAACATTGATTGATTGATTGATTGATTGATTGATTGATTATGCCTTTATTGTCATTGTATGGAGCACAATGAAATTACATTTAAGAACACCCATTCAAGAAAACACACATTGCAATTTTTTTTAAATAAACATGTATGTGTGGTTTTAGTAACATGTTGAAAATATCTGTTGTGTAAGGAAATGTTTCCTGTTTAAAGTTTTGGTCCATCAATTTCCTTATAAAACTCATCGAAAATTAATTTTCACTTTTCTATGTAATTAGATCTGGGGGGACTATGGGTTTCTTGCTGAGAACTTCCATAGATTAAAAAATGTGATTTTTCTGTGTGAGAACATCAACAATGTCGATCAGGTAAATGTACAACCCAAGTAGGAAACTCAGGAAAGCCAAGTATTAGTTGAGGAGACAAACAGACATCTGAATTTTTTTAACTTTCGAGTAAAAACTTAAGTTTGGTTCTGAAAAAACAGGAAGTCGGTGCATTTATGAGGACCGCTGTGTTTTAATTCAAGTAAAGGCTGAGGTCACACAGACAGCCTGGATTATTAGTCCCATTCTGCTGCAGAKAATCCATACAGTTTGATGATAACTGCAATGAAATTAACTTTTTTTTAACTTTACTGTCAATTTTTGCCTAATTTACAGGACAGGGAGCCACTTCAGAGGGGCTGCAGAGCAACATGTGACAGCAGACTGCAGACCCCTGAACAAATGCAATAAGGTGTATGTGTTTCAGAGAATCTGGTGTGACATCAGTCATGTATGATGCAGGAACTATAATTACCTTGAAGTCCATAACACCTGTGTAGCCCTCCAGAGTTGGCACCAGGGTTCCCTCTGGTCTTTTCCTGYCTGGAACAGGAGCCTCCACTGAAAACGTCGAAGAGGACGATCTCTTGCCAGAGCTGCTGTTGTACACCAACATGAAACCTGTAACCATGGTAACGAGGATGATGCCACCAACCCCTTGACTCTGGACAGGAGAGGGGGGGAAATAGGAATCAATATTCAGTCCGATCATGAAGCTCCAGGACAAGATCAGTCCTGAAAGCAGAAATCCAACATTGAGAGCTGCTCCTCTGCAGGATAAACGTCAGATTTGTCATTTAAATTCACCCAACATTCTCTGATCATCAGGTTTCAACCCATGTGAAATCAACTTGATTATGATGAGCCTTCATAGGTTAAAAATGTCTGATTGTTACAAATAAATAAAGTGTAATGAAAGTCAGAGATCTCCCGGTCTACAACTCATCTCTCCACACAAAGGAACACTAATAAATGCATTTCTKCCACCAGCTCTGCTTCAGTTACCACTTTCATCTTCATCTTCATTTCCCACGAACTCCGAGGCAAGCCTTCATCCRACCGAGAGCAGGCACCGGGACTCCTCGACGTGCAACACCTGAGCGAGCAGCAGCATCACCGGGATCAGAGCGCAGCAGCAGACAGAGAGGCTCCACTCCCACCCCACTCCTCTCCTCAGTGATGCTCTGCCTTCTTCAGCAGCACACGCCTCATGGTCCTAAACACCTCTCAGACACRGTCCATCAGGAGGCTCAGTCAAACATTTGTTGTGTCACCTCCCCCAGAAGAATGWTCTACCCATTACCATATATTAAAAAGCAGAAATCAGCTGTAAAGTAGCAAAAAATTGCCAAAAACACGCAAAAAATTTAAATTAGCTATAAAAACCGGTCAAATGAACAGAAAAACAGTTAAACCGTACCTCAAAATAATTAATAAAAGCTTAAAAGCTGCAGAAAAAAGGCTGAAAGGAGCATATACTGTAAAGTTTAAACGTAGTTTAAGTTCAAGAATGTGAAGTTTAAACAAAGTTTAAACAGCATATAAAGTTTTTTTTTAAAGAAAGAAGCTCAAAGCAGCAAAAGAGTAAAATAGAGTCCAAACAGAATTAAAGTCAGCAGGAAGCAGCAAAAAGAAACACATAAAGCTTAAGATGGAAGCTGCATAAGCAGACGAGGGCTGAAATTTGAATAAAGAAACTGAAAAAAACCCCACTAAAATTAGCAGCAAAAGCCTAAAAGAACATGTTTGCTGAATTAAGCAGAAAATAGCTGCAGTTAATACAAAATACAAGAAAATAAAAGTCCCTCAAATTAGCAGAAATATAATTTCAAAAATTTGGCTTCAAGAAAAAAAAATTCCAAAATGATAAAACTTAAATTAGCAGAAAGCAGCTGAAAGGAGCATAGTAGATCATCGAGACAAGTAGACAAAAGCTGAAATTAATTGAAAGGAGGTGAAAATGTAAAATAAAATAAAATAAAATAAAACATGCTGAAGTTAGCAGGAAAAAAACAGTAGAAATTTTTTCTTAAATCCACCAGAAAATAGCTGAAAATTAATGCAAAAAGGTCTGTGATGGACTTGCAACCTGTCCAAGGTGTACCCCACCCCTCACTGTGACTGCAGGATTTGGGCATCAGTGACCCCCGTGACCCTGAAAGGAAAAAGCGGGTATACTATATAATGGATGGATGGATGGATGGATGGATGGATGGATGGATGGAAGGATGGATGGATGGATACAAAAAAGGTGAAATTATATTTAAAAAAAGCTCAAATTAACAGAGAGTTAAACAGCACCTGAAAGAAAGAAGGCTGAACTTAGCAGAAATCAACTAGAAGGAGCATATAAAACTTAAACTAGATGGATGTTGTAAGTAGACATAAGCTGAAATTAGCAGAAAGAAACTGAAAAGAGCTGAAAAAGCAGATAAACACTCAAATTAAGAGGAAAAAACAAAAGAGCATGTTTGACAAATAAAGCAAAAAAATTACAAAATTTAACACAAAAATGGTAATGGGTAAAAAAAAAGGCAAAAATTGGCAGGATTTTCTAAAGTTTAAACTAGCAAATGGAAATTGCAGACAAATGTTGAAATTAGCCGAACAAAGAGGAGAGGAGCTGAAATAAACAGAACAGGTGAAATGAGCAGTAAAACCTGTTGTAAACAGCACAAAAGAATCAAAGAATTTTGAAGGAAATTCTACTCATTTTCAATTACAAAAAAGTGTCTAAAAAGCTAAAAGTCACAGCAGGCATGTCCGGAATGAGCTGAACGTTAAAGAATTTTTGAAATAGCATAAAAACTGCAGTTACATTTAGGTAGATTAAAAACAGAAAAATGTAAACACAACACACGGGAATAAAAACAATTGTAGGAATATTATTTAAAAAATAATTAAATATAATCATTTAAGAGATAGGAATACATC